AGCTCAGGATATGGACCACTGACTCAAATTGCTCGTCCGAAGGTGGAGCCGTGGGCCCATGATCCACAGCAAGAGGGGTGAGCTGTACCTTGGAGAACGGGAAGCGAAACCGCGTGAGGATCTGCTCGACCATATGCGACTGGGTCAGCGTAATGGTGCGAGCTGCCATGTCCCTGGTGATCTGTTGGCCAAGGTAGTGCTGCAGCTCACCAAGGTCAGTGCAAGTGTGTCTCCTCTCCTTACGGAGGCCAGCGCGCGTCGATCGGGAGTGGCGAACATCAGGCCGTCGACGTAGACCAGGACAAAGAACGGGGTCGAGCCATGGCGGACGAACAGTGACGGGTCGGGAGACGACGGAAAAAAGTCAAGCGCTGCAAGGGTCGAGCGAAGTGTGTCGTGCCACTCACGTGGAGCCTGATGCAGGCCGTAGACTGGTCGATGCAGTTGCCACTGGGTCCTAGGTGGGAAAAAGCCAGTGAAACCAGGCGGGCGATGCAGCCAGATCTGCTCGTGCAGGCTCCCCTGAAGGAACGCAGTGGAAATGTCAAAGGAGTGCAACTCGTAGTCGCGCTGGGCTGCAATATGCAGCAACACCCGAAGAGTACTCATCTTCGGGGTGGAACAAAGGTCTGGAAGAAGTCCACCCCCTCTCGCTGACTGAAGCCTCTCGCCACGTAGCGCGCCTTGAACACTGGTGGTGATCCAGGCGGCCGCTTCACCTTGTAGAGCCATCGGCCACTGACGACGTTCGTCCCAGGTGGTGGGACTGCGTCGACGTATGTGCCTGTGGACCTATAAGATGCCATCTCTGCCTCCTCAGCTACTATCCAGTACGAGGCCCAAGGTCCCGAGACCGCCTCAGCGTGATTGCGAGGGATCGGGATGTCAAGAGCGTCTGGATCCCCCTCAGGGGTAAGCAGCATGGCGCAGAGATGAGGAACAGCGGCCGCAAGGAAACCAAGCTCAAACTGCCTGTCCTCTAGGACCTCAAGGGGAAAGACAGGAGCACCCCCAGAGGACGGAGAACGAGGAGGGCCACTCACCAAGTGAGCGGCGTAGTCAAGGCAGTGGGAAGAGGCAAAGCCAGCGACAGTGGTAACAAGTGCTGAGACAGACGGCAGGGGTGCAGTCAGGTGAGTGACCAACACGGACAAAACACAGGAGAGGACAGGACGGGAGGCACGGAGGTAGTCGGACAACGGGTCGTGAAGCACAGTGAGGGACGACTCAGGGGGCTGTGGAAGGACAGGAGGAGGTGGAACGGACCGTCTGCATGGTAACGGGACCGACGGCGCTCTGGGGACACAGCACGACTGAAAGGAGAACGGCGAGTCCACTGGGACGAGGAAAGGGACTCAACAGGGGGAACAGGAGGGGACGATAGGGGACCACGAACAAAGCGTGCAGGTGCTGGGCCGGGGAGGTCGCGTAGTCGCAGTCGCTGCTGCTCCGCCTCCTCTGGCGTCTGCTGCGACGGTACCGACCCCTGCTGCTGCTCCTGTGGCTCCGCCTCTGCCCTCTCCTGCTGCGACTGCAGCTGCACCATCTACGTGTCTGGGGTTCTCTGGCTCACGTTCGCGCCCCTGGCGCGAACAAGTTTTCTCCGCGCACTCGTGCCTTCGTCTTTCTTGGCTTCTCTTTGGACGCCTCCGGGGACGACTGCGGAGTGACGTGCGACACACCTGACGGGGCAGGACGCGAAGGGGGTGGGGCTACCGGGGCGACTGGGGGGGGCTCAAGGGTGAGGAACAGCGGGGGGGAAAATGCCTCAGAACCTCGGTGGGGGCGACTCCTGTAGTAACTGACCGACTCGTCGAAAGTGACGTCCTGAGAGGCAAAGAACTGGTGGGTGACTGGGTCGTGGAACACCCAGCCTGAGGCGTCGAGTGGGAAGCCAAGAAAGATGCAAACACGAATGCGCGCATACAACTTGTTCGCGCCAGGGGCGCGAACGTGAGCCAGACAACCCCAGACGCGGTAGTCAGCTGCTACGCCTGGAAAACCTGTCCAAAGGAAGATCGGCGTCACTCGTGGCCGTGCGTCACTAGGCCACAGGTTCAGCTGGTGCGTGGTGTAGAAGACTGCCTGAGGCCACAAGAACTAGAGGGCACCGGCATGGCACATGGAGGTCCGGGCAACCTCCATGACGAGGCCGATGCGTCGCTCGGCTACCTCGTTCTGCAGCAGCGAGGCTGGTAGCGTGTAAGACTTGATGATCCCCCGACCCTGTCAGAACGTCTCCAGGCGAGTGGAAGAAAACTCACCACCACGTTCCGAGTGTAGGCGGAGCCCACACAGTCCATGGGCGCCACTCCTCGCTAGTAGCCACGGTTCAAGGACGGTAGGCACGTCGGCCTTCCGTCGCAAGGGGAAAACCGTGGTGTAGCGGGAGTAGTCGTCCACCACAATCAGGAAGTAGCGCTCCTGACATGGGCCAAGGACCGAGGAGGGGCCCCAGACGTCCAAGTGCAGGGTCTGTAAGGGAGCCGTGGTGGGGGGGAACGAGGAGGAATGAGGGGCAGCGCGCTGCCGACCCTCGACGCAGGGAGTGCACGGCGGCGCAGGCGAGCGAGGAAGCGGGGCTAGCGACTCTGGGAGACGTGAGACTAGACGGTGATGTATCATCCTACTGAGACATGGGAACGACGGGTGATCGAGACGGTGGTGCCAGAGGACCGACGGGTGGGTGAGTGACCGACAGTTGCACGACACAGCAGCTACCTGACCTGACCTGACCTGACCTGACCTGACCTGACCCAGTGTGGTGGAACCCAGTGTGAAGTGAGTACAGACCAGAGCCCGGCTCCCTGTGGAAAGTGGCAAGAGGCGCCCCAATGGCACCGACTGTGCAGGAGGCAATAGGCTTGTGCAGTGGAAAAGTAGTGACAACTCCGAGGTCGTGGAGGTGACTGACACCCACCAGGTTCCTAGAGAACGAGGGGGTGTAGTAACCTGTGAGAAACCCAGAAGGAGCCGCCGGACACGGGAGAGTGGTGGTGCTGTCGGCAACTACAGATCCTACTGAGGGGTCAGCCAAGGCGACAGTGACTGGAGTGTGCAGTGGCGTGAGGTCGGTGCAGTCGCGAAAGAAACAGCTTGACGCTCCAGAGTCTAGGGTGAAGGAAAGCCGTGCAGTCGGTGAGGTCGCACCCGAGCCAGCGACAAAGGCTGGTACTAGTTTAGTGGTGGCTGCAGCTCCCACACTAAGAACCTCTAAGGCGCCTGGACCGGAAATCACACACGCACCAAGACTGGAAACACAAGGCTCAATAGCAGTTGCACCTCCCACGTACCGGTGTGTGTACTGGCCAGGTCCGTCAGGGCCCCGCTGTGGAGGTTGCTGCAGGCGCTGCAGCTGAACCCGCCACTTCTGCAGCTGCGGCCACCTGTGCTGTTGCCGCTGCCACTGCTGCTGCTGAGACCACTGCTGTTGCTGCGGCTGTCGCCACAACGACATGGCAAGCTAGTACAGGGGGGGGTACGCTGGCGGTAGCCTAAGTTGCTGCTGGTGCTACTGGTGGCAACCTGAGTTGCTACGGTCAGGTGTGGCTAGGAGTGGCCTGGTGCGGTGGAATGCGGCTGAGTGCGGTTCTGGTGCTTGTGGGAGGGGTTCAGTGCGGTCGGATGCGGTTGGGAGCTATGGAGGGCAGATCAGTGCTTCTGGGAGCGGTGAAGAACGGTCTAGGGCGGTGGGGGAAAACGGGTGGGCTGTCAACGGGCGTAACGAGCGCATGGGCGGTTGCTGTTGATGCTAGCAGTTGCAGGTGCAGGCTAGAGCGGTGAAGGGCGGTTGAGACAGGTTGAGTGAAGTGGGGAGCGGTATCTCGCGGTTGGGAGTGATTTAATGCGGTGAAGGGCGGTTTTTCACGGCTAAGAGTTGTCTAGTGCAGTTGAGAGGCGGTTTAGAAGTTTCTTGTTGCTTTTCCGTCTGTTCGTTTAAAAAATACTGAAACGTTTCCTCCAGGGCATCCACGCAGCTTGGCAGAGGCACTCAAAGGAAGCCAATGCCTTTTTACATTAGTAACTACTGACAGAAGGAGCCAGAATGCTCTGAAAGCACAACCAAAGGACAGGAAGTTCCAACAAGGCCATAAAGCATGGTTCAGCATGGGATGGTAGAAAGAAATAGAAGGACAGGAGCTGAATCATGACATGTAAAGAAAGAAGAGGCTGATGTTGAGGCTTGGCTTGGGAGGGTAGGGCAGGAGGCGGAGAAAATAGTTACTTACATTGTCTCGATGTTGGTGGTGAATGCAGGGGGTATCGAACCAGAAAGGTAATTCCATGAGAGGTCTCTGCATTGGAGCAGGGAAGAACAAATGATGGTGCAGTTGTTGTGGAAGCGACGATGGAAATAGGTGGGGACACAGTGAGGTTCAGACAAATGGAAGTGAGGAGGATACAGGAACCTTACATGGAAACGAGGGCTGTTAGGGCCGAAAATGTTGCCGGAATTGTTCCTTGGAGGCGGTTGGCACTTAAATATCTTTAGGGAAACAGGTGAGAAGAATAAATAGGAACAAGCTTGTCAATTCAACGATGCAAGCAAGTGTTGCTGGGTCCGACAAGATAGGGATTGGCATGGTGCAACGGCATGGGGTTCATACTGCTGGCAGCAGCATGGCAGGGGGGCAGCATGAAATCATGGTAGAAGCGCTGCACGGCAGCATGCTAGGATGGGTACGGCAAGCAGTCATGGCAAGACGAGACTCACAGCTCCTGCAGATTGATCAGAGTGGACCAACCCTTGGGCAGGTAGCCTTCCAGGTTGTTTCCACTGATGGATCTGCAGAGCATAGGAGCAGGTTGCGTTGCGAATGGACTTCTACGTTGTCAGCTGATGGGGGACATGGCGAAATTTGGCCAGGACTCGCGAGTGCAGTAATTGGCCTACTGGAGAAGGAAATGCAGCAAGGATAGAGTTCAGATGGTGCCTACGACGACTTTGACATTTTGTGAGGTAACTTAACTGGGAGCCTTCTTATTGTCTATAATAAGACTCACAGGCTGGTGAGTGCGGTGAGCTCAGACATGTCATCCTTCAGCAGCCCCTGCCGTCGTGGGTCGTCAGTATCCACGTTCCTGCACACATGGGAATGCTGGCGAGCCCCTCAGAAGCACTAAAGACAAGCTCAGTCACGGCGATGCCATGTGTGGTTCTCGTGGCTCATGGGGGATGTGGCGTGTGGCAATGGAAGGAAGGAGAGTAAAGTAGGAGGAGCTCACAGATATTGGAGGTTGGTGAGGTGAGTGACCCAATCAGGAAACTCCACGGCACGAAGGAAGGATACGTCCCTGCAGGGAGGAAGGCACGAGCATGCCACGTAGACATGCACATAGCAGGGAGCTGCTGTCATGTTGGGCGAGGGGATAGACAGGTTTCAATAGTGAACATGGACGAACTTGCTCCGTCTGTCCCATCTTGGCACTTGTGTGTGCAGCTTACAGTGCAGTGAGGGCTGTCAAGTATCGGATCTCTCTGGGAATCTCCCCTGTGGCGTTGGTGAGCGACAAGAGATTCCTGCGTTCATGTACATGCAATTAGTAAGGGCAAATAAAATGCCAATTGCGAGCTAGGACTGGCCACAGCAACACGCACATTAGGAAGTTAAACATGCCTGTGCACCCGATGCTTACAGCTGTTGAAGGCTGCCCAGGTGAGAAAGAATGTGCAGGGAGGACAGGTCCCCTGTGAATGCAGCCAAGTACTCTAGACCCCTGGTGGGGCGGGGGGTGAGGGGAGGAGGGGGGGGGGGGAAGGGGGGGGGGGGAGGGGGGAGAGGGGGGGGGGAGAGTGAGGCGTGTAGAATAGGAGCATGGGACTTTCTCTTGGGTTGCGAGGGCGATGTGACATGCATGGCTTAAAGACAGAGTGGTATTGCTTGCAGGGCGTACAGTGTTTTGAGGTTGGTGAGGGAGGAGAGCCAAGCCAGTCCTTCCAGAGTGCCAGCCAGCCTGCTGCCATCCACTCCAATAGTTCTGAGTGCACACGTGGCATGACGTATAACACAGCACGGTGCACGTGGCACGTTCAGTGGGCAATGGGAACACATGCCGCTGCTGTACAAGATATGGGAGTTAGAGTTAGCCTTCAATCTCAGCTTTTGTATTTGTGATCTCTATACCCTGATTTAGTGTAGTTGTAGTTTTTGTGGGTTGGATGTTACACCAACATCCCCAAATGTAATCAACCGAAAATTTCAACCCAAAGAGCCTTGAGCTCAAGACCTAATGCATCGATTCTACCTCAAGCTCTTACATTAGAGACAACTGAAATTATCATCATGAGCAAAAGTTCACGGGAAGGTCGAAATGACTCCAAATTTGAGAAGTGGCTTGGAACGAGGATCGAGCTTGAGAGAGCAGGGTCAGGGGTGCAGAGGAGTGAAAAGGGGCGGTGGATGGGCACAACAAGGATGGGCCTAGTTCAGGCCCAGCAGTAAACAACCCAGGTCTGGAACCATGAGAGAGCAGCACGTACAGGTGGGTGAAGCCGGTGAGAGTGGCGAGAGATGGAATAGACCCCACCAGATCAATGTAGGTCAGGTCGCTGTGGGGATGGGAGGGCAGGAAACAGCAGTGGGGAAGGCAACGGAGACATAGAATGGACCCGTGAGATGTATGGCCTGGTGAATGTCACAGTTTATAGTCCGGGTAGTGCACAAGGGAGGAATGGAAGGGCAGGGAGAAGGGAGGGTCAGTTGTGCCTGAGAGGGACGAGATGGAAGGATGGAGCATGACGAGGTTGGGGCGGGGAACGGGCGTGGGAGAGAATGAAAGCGAAAGTGCAAGCAATCGATGGCTGGGAATGGCAAACGAACGGAGGCAGGGGATGGTGCATGCAAGTAAGTTGGATGCAGTGGAGTGAGGGTGGGTGGATGGTGACGGACAGGTATTGCAGAGTGGCGAGACTGGTGATGGAGGCAGGTATGGCGCCATTGGGGGGAGGATCCGCGTTAGAGAATAGCTTTGCATCCCTGCCAGCACACGCCGCATGCCATGCAAACACACAATACCAGTGCTCCCATACCTCCCCCACCACCTCCCATCCCCGTCCCCAGTATCCAGTCCTCCCTCATCCCACCACCCCACCTCCTCCATTTTCACCCCATCCCTCCCTTACACTCAAAATGCAGCACATCGGAAATAGTACGCGATGAGTGCTTTTGAGGAACCAATGGAAGGGCGAAGCAGTGATGAAGGGTGGCGACGAGAGCACCGGCGGAGGGGCAATGAGGAGCAATGAGGGGCCATCAGAGCGGCGATTAAGGAAACACAGGCAAAAAGGGCAAAAAGGGCATTGAGGGGCGGCAAAGAGGGCATTGAGGGGCGGCAAAGAGGGCATTGAGGGGCGGCAAAGAGGGCATTGAGGGGCGGCAATGAGACGCACAGGGCAACGATGAGCCCCTTTGGGCTGCACGTGACGCCAGTCCATGCAGAGCACGCAGTGGTGGCGTTGCTGTTGCCCACCCACATGCCCCACGCCTCCTTCAGCTGCACCAGCGCCTTCACTGCCGGCACAAGGAGGGAAAGGAGCCGATTCACGTAAAACGTGGCGCAATCCGTCCTGCTGCGTGAGGTCGCCAGAATGTTGCTGTCCCTGGACCTGTCTCATATGGTGCTGAGAACCTACAATGAGTGTCCGAAGGGAGAGCATGTGCCACAAAACACTAAACCCCTTTTCCCCCGGGGACAAAACCAGGCCTGGACCTGCTCGCTCGCGCGCGTCTCAAAAATCATGAGTGGCCCCAACTCTGAGTACGAACTGCAGCTAACTCTGTACCATGATATCCCTTGGTCGAGTGTTCACTTTGTACCATGATATCCCTTGGAGCACCTCGGGGTAACCCACTGGTGGGTTACCTCGCGCCAACTTTAGGGTTAGATTGAGGTAACATTTCGGGCGCACAACTTTTGAGACGTCTCTGCCCGTCAGAACTCGAGCTCTCCTCATCTGAGTGACGATACTCACATTGCGAATATTCCAGAACTACGGGCCTAGCGCTCGTGGCAGTAGCCTTGGAGCCATGGGCGGCGGCGGAGTCGAGCTTTAAGATCGAGCGTCGAGCCGGTCGAGACAGCAGGCGCTTTTTGGGCAGACGCGGGGCATCTCGGCACGACAGTGGGCGATTGGGCGCCGCGCTTGAAACGGAGCAAGCAGCGGCGCCGGCGGCAGTGAGCGCGAGGGCCGCGAGGAGGAGAAGGCGAGCTGTGGCGACTCCATTTGCAGAGCGGCGTGGCCACGCGGCAGGCCCAGGGGAACGAGCTTCAGCAGTGGTATAAGTATGCATGATGCTTCAGAATCGTATGTGTGAGGAGAACGGGATTCTGCAGGGTCTGAATTTGTGAAAAAATCGCCAGGTACCACATCTCCAAAATGTAATGATGGCATGATGGGAAGCTCCGGTTGTGCGAATTTCGTTCGCAGCAGTCAGTGGTGGTGGTAGCGCCGTGAAACTGAGGGAAGGAGTGAGGTGTGAGGTGAGGGGAGAAGCGCACACGCAGAGCAATGTCGTGGAGTCTCTCAAGGTCGGGTTAGGTCAGTGCTGTGAGGAGAGGGGCAGGATGGCACTGTACATGTACTGGAAACCCGTTTGAGTTCGGAGCTGACTGGGAGTGAGGGCTAGTACACTTTCCTTCTCAGTAATTTCACCGCCAAAAGGCCAGAGAGAGTGAAATGTTGCTCCTGGGGATGTGATATAATTGGGACAAAGAAAATCCCTGATTGTTTTACACTTGGGCCCAGGATGGTGGATCTGAAGATGCAATAACTTTTCTTTTACAATCATTGAAGAGGTTGAAACAATAAAATCTTAAGTAATCAAAGCTTGTCATCTGAAAGGTTGACACTTACGAATGTTGAAACGTGAACTGCGAAAACTTGAGAATCCCCACATTCGCATTTTTTTATTCGGGCCACATGCTGCAAGAAGTCCGACAAAAGTAAACACCCCTCACACCTAATATACCATACGATTATTTTTCACCCCCACCCCTCGGTGCCAAGCGCTCGACCTTACGATACCGAAACGTTTCGGATGGTAAGAGCCTTCTCCAACTTCACTTCATAAGATTATGGTACACATTCAAATCCTTGTTTGTGGGTGAAGTCTGAATCCTGGTAGACGGAAAAAAAAAAGTACCGCTCGAAATAAAAGAAAACACTCACGCAGACACACATACGCGCGCATATACATACAAACACACATACACAGTCAGTGATGGTGGTACAGCCGTGAAACAGGGAAGGAGGAGACGGAAGGAGGGGAGTGAGGTGTGAGGTGAGGGAAGAAGCGCACAAGCAGAGCAATGTCGTGGAGCCTCTCAAGGTTGGGTTAGGTCAGTGCTCGGACAAGGAGGCGGAGAAATGTGATGTGAGGAGAGGAGCAGGATGGCACTATAGATGTACTAGGAACCCGTTGAGTTCGCAGCTGACTAGGAGTGAGTGCTAATACACCCTGGTTCTTGATCATTTCACCGCCAAAAGGAGAAAGCGTGTGAAATGTTGCTCCTGGGGATGTGATATAACTGGAAGAAAGAAAATTCCTTACTATTTTTCACTTGGGACCAGGATGGTGGAGCTGTGCCCACACACCTATGTAGGGGCACGGCACCTACGGCTGGCACGGAGAAAGGTCCTTGTCGGCGTGCACACAACACACAGCACGCTGTGTCACTGCACCAGCCATGCTGAAGGGCACGGCACCTACGGATGCACGTCGTCGTCACCGTTGCCGACGTCGGCCAGGCGCACTTGGCCGATTGCGACGAAGCACTGGTTGAAGGCTGGAAAGTGCAGCGCCTTCATCAGGAAGTCGGTCGGCTGCTCAGTGGTCGGGATGTACTTCAGCACGAACTTCCCGCGCTTCACCATCTGCTGCAGCCAATGGTTGAGGTTGCCCTTCAGCCCCAAGCCTTCGGCGACCGTGATGGCCGACATGTTGTCCACACGAAGGACAGTCGGTGTCTCAGCGTCCAGCAGCTGGAACTCAGCGAGGAGGAAGCGAAGTCGGCGTACCTCCTTGCCGGCTTCGGTGGCTGCCACGTACTCCGTCGCGCACTTGATGCGCTGGCTCGTCCAGGAGACGACGGCACCGCCGAAGACGAACACGTAGCCTCCCTTGCTCGTGCGGTTCTGCTTGTCGCCGGCGTCGTCGGCGTCTACGTAGCCGACCAGACTCGGCGACTCTGGTCCGCAGCTGAACTCCAGCGCGACGTCACGGGTGTCTGCGAGGTAGGCGAGGCAGTGGTCGACCTCACGCCAGTGCTGGTCGCTCCTAACCGTTGAGCCGCTCCCCATCTTGCTGCACACGAAGGCAATGTCCGGCCTCGTTGTCATCGCCACGAACTGCAGCGAGCCGACCTTCTGCTGGTACTCCTCCTCCCTGCGCGCCTGAGCCTCCTCGTCGTCGAACGTCAGCTCAGCGTAGGCGTCGACGGAGACCGGCGTCTTTAAGATCCGATCGCCTTGCTCCTCGTCGATGAAACGCCTGCGCAGCTTGTCGATGTAGGTCTGCTGGTGGAGCCGCAGCTTCCTCGCCGGTCGGTCGCGAACGATCTCCAGCCCAAGGTACTTCTTGACTGGTGAAATCTCGCGCAGCTCGAAGGGGGCATCCAGCAGCTCCTTCAGCTCCTTCGCCATTGCGAGGCTGCTGCTGGCGGCGAGCAGGTCGTCGACGTAGGCCAGCACCGAGCAGGTCACTCCGTCGTCGCCGACCTTGAAGTAGAGGGCCTCGTCGACTTGGCTCTTTCTCCAGCCGGCGCCGGTCAGGACGGCGTCGAGTGCCGAGCACCACAGCAGCGGCGAATGCTTCAGCCCGTACATGCTCTTCAGCAGCTTGCACACCCGGCCAGTCCCGTCGTCGTAGTAGTCCGGCTGGTACATGCACAACACCCGATCGAGCTTGCTTTGCAGGAAGGCGTTCTTCATGTCAAGCTGCATTAAGTGCAAGTCGAGGACAGCGACGATGCTGAGGAAGATCCTCAGCGTGATGTAGCTCCCAACCGTTGCGTACGTCTCATCGTAGTCAGCGCCGTACACCTGCGTGAAGCCCTTCACGACCAGCCTCGCCTTTTCCCGAGCGACCGTGTCGTCGACGTGGTTCTTCGTCATCAGCACCCACCAGTTCTTCATGATGTTCGCCCCGCGCAGACGCTCGACCGGCTCCCATGTGCCGTTGGTGATGGGGCTGCGGATTTCCTCGTCCATGGCGGACTTCACCGCCTTGCCCTTCTAGCTCGCCAACGCCTCCTTCACTGTCATTGTTGCGATGTCCCAGCGGTGCTCCGGGTCAGCGTGCACGTCAGGGTCGAGTTCGGCCAGGTCGACGTCGGCCTCGGCATCGTCGTGCAGCGTGGTGAAGGCGGTCGGCGGCAGGCATGCGTGGTAGCTCAGCCGCTCTGGTGGCCTCCGAGTGCGGCCTGAACGCCGCGGACCATGCTGGCCGACCTGGACCTCCACCACGTCGTTGTCGGTGGACTCCTCCCCCGTCGACAGCTCCCCTTTGTCGTTGCCGGCTGCACCGCCCTCGTCAGACAACTGCACCAAAGTCGGCGTCATTGCCGAGTTCTCCCCTCTCATCGGCTCCCCTGCCAACTTCTCCTCTGCCGACTTCTCGCCGACTTGCTTGAGGTCAAGTCAGCCGCCGAGGATGCCACTGGCCGGCACCACAGGCGATGGCGCAAGGCTCCCCTCAACGCCAGTGGTCGACGCCGACGTCGGCTCCTGCAAGTCGGCGACGAGGGGTGTGACAAACATTAATAGTGGGGAGAGAGGGAGGGCGAACGTCCTCGACGTCCTCGTCATTAGGCTCGTCGATGTCGGCGAGCTGCAAAATGGTCGCTGTGGAGGTGTCCGTCGGCGGGTTGGCCTACGTCCGCCCCGACGCCGGCCCGTACTCCATCTTCCCCACCTCCAGCGACAGCGTCTCGTAGAAGATGACCTTGACCGACGTGACCACCTTGTTGTCGGTCAAGTCGAGCGCCTCCCAGCCCTTGCTCTCCGACGAAACACCGAGGTGAAGCCCCCACCGGGCCTTCGGTGCCAACTTCCTGCCACGTTGCTGCTCGAGGACCATGAACTGCACCATGCAGCCCCACACGCACGCCAGCGTGAGGTTGGGTTTCTTGCCGGTCAGTAGCTAGTGCGGCATCGTTTTCGGCGGCAACACCGACCGCCTAAGGCAGTTGCGCACCCAGACGGCCTACCGCAGGGCGAGGTGCCACCAGTGGTGCTGCACACCCATGTGTAGCAGCATCGTCCGCACGGACTCGACCACCGTCCGCATCTCTCACTCCGCCATGCCGTTCTGCTGTGGTGTATATGGGCGGGTCAAGTCGTGGATGATGCCCTTCCTGTCCACGAAGTCGGTGAAGGCTTTCCCGGTCGGAGCGGAGCATCAGCACCGACTTCTTTGTCTGCCGCTCCACTACCAGCAACCACTTCTCGAACTCCCGCAGCACGTCGGACTTCTTGGCGACCGGCTTCACCCACACGTAGGGGGTCTTGCGGTCCTTCAGCAGCAAGAAGTACAGGCTGCCATCCTTGGCGACCACCCGGAACGGCCCGCACAAGTCGATGTGCACGACGGCCAGGGCCTCCTCGACGTCCGAGCC